ACGACTCGACGGCATCAAACACCACCAACAACAATCACCTTCCTAGATCATCACAGCATGGTACCTGAGGCAGGCAAACATTTCAAATCCCAGCAACTGTCCTTAAGCACTTGTCCAATTAACACAGGAGTGGGAATCCCCATAGACTGTCCGGCACATCCTGACCTCCACCCAGTTCCTTACATGACTGTGTGTATGGAGGAGAGTGTAGAAATATTAGCTCACGAACCTCATCCTTTCTACCCATCAAGTTGGCATTTCTTTAAATAAACTGCCTTCCCAGACTCCTGATGAAGTCTTAGCTCTTTAAAGGTCTTGTCCTTGTTTTGTTAGAGTTGCTTCTGGATACTGTTTAAATGGCATCTTTTTAAAAACTACAGAGCTCTGTCTGGTGTGTTGCACGCTGCGCTGCTAGCCAAAAGGTCAACAGTTCAAATCCATCAGCTGCTCCAAAGAGAAGAGTGGGCCATCTTTCCCCATAAAGAGTCCCTCACAGCCGTGGAAACTGATGGAGGGAGGGTCAAGACTGATTTGGCAGCAGAGATGTTTTTGGTTGTGGTTGTTTCAAAAACTGCATTTCTGTTTGCTGGGTGTGGGCATGGAGAAGTGCCAATCGTTTTTTTTATGAGTTATAAGGGGCCCAGCTGCGGGTCTGGATCCTTCAGTCGCTCGTCGGGAAGAACACGAAGCAGTCTGCTCTTAAGATTTGTGGCCTTGGAAGCCCAGGGAGGGTCACACGAGAGTGGGAACAGGCTCGGAGGTAGTGGGTGTAGTTGAAACGAGCTCAAATGTAAACTTGGCCCACTGACTTTAAAGGGACAATCTCATGGGTCTGTAACTTTGAATCTACGTTCACCCTACGTTATTCACAGAACAGTTCCTTCGCTAATATGCTTTCATTCTTTCCATTTCTAATTTAATGCCCTACGCCTGTAACATTTAATACCTAATAAATGAAACCCAGGAAAGCCTGGCATGGAGGGAGACTCACCAGAGTGCTCCTCCTAAGAGAGGAGGAAAGACTTGGTCTCACATGCCTTGGGCACGTTACTAGGAGACACTCATCTCTGGAGAAGGACATCATGCTTGGAAGAGTAGAGGGTCAGTGAAGAAGAGGAAGACCCTCAATGGAATGATTGGAGACGGCTGGATACAGTGACCGAAACAGTGGCCTTGAGTGAAGCTGACACAGGATCTGAGAAGGTTTCAGTTTGCTGTACGCGGGTTGTTTTGGGTCAGAACTACCCCAACGGCACCTGACAACAACAACTGAAAACCTGGATCCCCCAGGCTCTCACCTTTCAGAAATCCACCCTGTCACTAGGGCATGGTGAGGGTCCTTCTACTCTGGACCGGTGGCACTTTGATAATAGTCTAGAAGGACAGGGGTGTGACCCCTCTCAAAAGCCGGGACCACCCGGGACTGCCAGCAGCAGCAGGTAGAGGGGACAGAGGGCCTCCCCAAGCCCAGCGCCCGTCCTGAGCACTGACTCATCTGTGGGACTTGAGAGCCTCCCTTCAGGTTCTCTCTGGGGGAGAACCCCACTCACCCCAGCTTCCCAGACATGGACGCAGGTGAAGGGCGGAGCTCCAGGAGGCCTGAGGTGTCTTCCACGAAGAAGTCATCAGCCAGGTTGGTCTCCGTCTGCAATGAGACCCCCACTCACTAGGGACTCCAGCTGCCCAAGGCTCCCCCTGGCCCCAAGGCTTCTCTCCTTTTAGGGAAATGTTCTTTTCCCACAGTGGTTCAGAGGAGGCAAGCCGGCCCCTACATTTGGTCTCATCCCACCCACAGGCACAGCATCTTTTCCTAATGTCTAGACGGCGTGGGGCAGTTGGCCTTGCTCCGTTTTCCCAGCAGCCCCTACTCACTTGGTGTCTCTGGTCCCATTTTGGTCACTCACCGTATTTCCAAGTTTTCCCTCATGTTATATATTTTACACCAACTAGATGGCAGCCAGGGTAAATGTAATTCTTTGACACACAGAAAAACCAAAAAAATCTCAACATCTGAAACTGATTCCGCAGTCACTCTGAGGCCCCTCTGTTATCGGGTGGTGAAGCCACAAATCTTTATGGGAACATACACCGTCACACTTTCTCCTGATCTTTTGGTTAGCAGTCAAACATGTTTACCACTGCACCACCCAGGCCTCCTACTAGAAGATCAAATTCAAACTCATTGTTGTCAGAACCGACCCACAGTTGACCCTACTGCAGGTTTTCAGAGGCTAATGATCTCAGTCTAGGGACTAAGCTGTACCTGAACCAGGCCGTGGTCTTTGTGATTACTTGCTATGCATCAGAGAGCTGGACAATGACGAAGGAGATACAAAAATCAATGTCTTTGAATTGAGGTCTTGGAGATGAGTATTGAACTTGGACTTTCAAGAGAACAAACAACTCTGTTTTGGAAAGGGTGAAACCAAATTTCTCCTTGGAGACAAGGATTCTGAAGCTCCATTATCACATACTTTGGGCACATGGCCAGAAGGGACCAATCTTTAGAGAAGCTTGGAAGGGTGGAGGGACAGTGCAGGAGAGGAAGACTCCGGATGAGATGGATTGACACAGTAACCGGGGCGATGAGGGTTAAGTATGTCAGAGTCAGTGAGACTGGCTCAGGACAGGGCAGAGTTAAGAGCTATTGTACATAATAATAATATTAAAAAAAAAGGCTATTGTATATAGGGTCTCTATGAGTCAAAGGCAACTCAAAAGCACAGAACAACATAAATTGCCCGTTTATGGAGAATTGCCCATCTTCCTCCTGCAGAGGGGCTAGTGGCTTCAGACCTCTTGTGTTCGGGCAGGCTGTACAATTCCTTTCCACTAGGCCAGCAGGGCCCACTTCTAGGAACTAGGACCTTAATGAAACAGTCCCCAGATAATGACCTCAAAGAAGTCCTGAGTTTTCTTCAGGAGGTGTTTGAGCTCTGTCAACTGTAGGTAGCTTTTCTTCAAATCTTGCTGGTTGTGGTTGGCTTCCTGTAACTCCCTTTCCAACTTTTCCAGAACAGTCTACAAAGGAAAGAAAAAAAGGTGAACTGGGCAGGAAGTACAATGAAGTCCTCATGCTCATCAGCCCCAAAATAACCAATAGTCAAACAGTTCGTTTCTTCCCGATGTTGCTTACGGTGGAGCGTCCGCTCAGTGATTGTGGCCGAGGGCTGCAGGCAGGAGCCCTCCCTGCTGCTCCCAGGCCCATCACCAAACAGGGAGGAGTGTCGAGAAATGTCAAAAAATAGCCAAGAATTCGCCAAACACAGATTCCACGGATGCACCCGGGGGAGGGGGAGGGGCCTGAGGCTAAGAGAGAGAAGCCAGACACACAGGGCAAACACAGGAGGGTTCAGCTGGTGGGAAAACATTCCTGAATGGTGACCAGCGATGGGGAGGGGAAGGAGGGGCAGGAATTATCAGACAGGACACAGACACTGGAATCTGGGAACAGGGAATGCGATACAGAGTAAGGAGTGAAAAAAAGAGGTTTCTAAATCAAAATCTGAGAGATGTCAAATAGAGTGACTGGAGTGAAATCAACACAATACTGGACACAGTCAGAGAATATAGTGCTGAAATTTAAAAGGAACATTAGAAATAGAAGAAGTAATTTATCCAAAAATCCATCATTAATAGATGAGGCAACAATTAGGATTAGGGCAATTGATATCACTGAATTATTATACACTTGAAAAATATTGAGTTTATAAAAGTCGTGTTTTCTTACAGTAACATTACAACAATAGAAAATAACAGACTACAAACAACAAATGCTGGTGATGTTGTGGGGAAACTGGAAGCCTTATTCACTGTTGGTGGGAGTGTAAAATGGCGCAGCCACTATGGAAGGCAGTATGGCGCTTTCTCAAAAGTTGGAAGTAGAAATACTATTTGACCCAGCAATTCCACTACTGGGATATACCCAAAAGAGATTATAACTGCCACCCAAGCAGATATATGCACACCCATGTTTATCGTGGCTTTGCTCACAATTGCAAAGAGTTGAAAACAACCTAAGTGCCCATCAACAAACGAATGGATAGAGAAACTGTGGTATATTCACACAATGGAATACTATGCTGCATTGAAAAACAAGGAACTCATGAAATATTATTCAAAATGGGTGACACTGGAGGACATTATGCTGAGTGAAAGATCTCAGTCACAAAAGGACAAATATTGTATAGTGCCACTGTTGTAAAACGGGACTGACATTGGGGTTGGGGAGAGACTGAGAAAGATGGAAAAGTAATGTATACTGCATTGAAACAGATGAGGGAAAGAACTGTTTAAAAGGGATATGTGAGTAGGTATTATTGTCATGACAGGAGTCCAGAACGAAGGCTGCATATTGGAGTTGATCTAGGGGCAGAGATTGTAAAACAATGTAAGAATTTTTCTTTTACTTTTCAAAGAGAAGAGTGTACTGGGGGGAGGGGTGGGCAGGGAGAAAAGGCAGCAATGAATCAATGGAATCCAAGGTCTCAGTAAACTTTCATTAAAATTATTAATAATAAAATTTAAAGAAAATGACATAATGGATGGTGTGGTGTGTAAAGGGGATACTATCACATGCTGAAAAAGAGAGGAAGGCCCTCCCTCAGTGAGAGAGATCGACAGAGACACTGGGCTTGAGTGTATCAGACGGTGAAGATGACCAAGGACGAGAGAATACTTGTCATGAGGTCATTATGGACAACGGGTAACTCTATCACCGCCGTTAAGAGGAATTCTTAACAGAAACATGAAGCAGTATGTTCTCAGTGCTCCTGAGTGGACAGAGAAACAGGTTTTCCTGGCTGCTGGCATGGTCATCTGACACCAGGTCTCCTTGGAAACAATACAGCTTCTTTAAAAACAAAGTTGCAAAATGCAGAAGACCAAATGGCCTGTCTGCATTTATAAAAACATGAAATAGGCAAAACCAAACCCCGGGTTTATTTCAGAAGTGAAATATATGGCAAATCTATGAAGATGCAAAGAGAGAGGAACTCCACAGCTGAGGCGGTAATTGTCAGAGGGAGAGGGGACAGGAAGGGAGCACAGAGAACTGGACGAGCTCTCTTGTGGCTCGGTGCTATTGAGTGGATTCCAGCTCTTAGTGACCCTGGGACACAGTGACTGGCCCATTGAGTGCTCCAAGCTAGTCTCCATCAAAGCAGCTGGTGGGTCAGCGTATTTTCTTCAGCTGTTCATTTTTTAAATGCCAGAGCATTTTGTTGGGCTTCTCTTGTTGTTAGAAGCCATTAGGCTAACTCCAACTCACAGCAGCCCTGTCCTGCGCCGCCCCACAGTGCCCACCGCGCTCAAGCCCGTTGCTGCGGCCACTCTGTAAATCCATCTTGTTCAGAGTCTCTTCCTTTCCCTGACCCTCCACTTTTGCAAGAATAATGTCTTTTTTCAGAGGACTGGCCCCTCCAGACAACAAGCTCAAAGTATATGAGATGCAGTTTCACTCTCTTTGCCTCAAACAAGTAGTTCCTCCAAAGTAGATTTGCTGGTTCTTTCAGAAGTCCATAGATTTTGGCAGTCCATGGAGTTGTCTTAGGGAAAGGTGTATACACACTTAAGTGCAGCCTTCATTATAGATTGCACCTCAACATCAAGGAAACAAAGGGCCTCACCACATGGCCAACAGTCAACATCATGATAGATGGAGAAAAGATTGAAGCCGTCAGTGATTTCATCTTGCTAAGATCAACAGTCAATATCCTTGGCACCAGAAGTCAGGAAATCAGGAGACATACTATATTGGACAAGTCTATGCTCAAGGACTTCTCTAGAATATTTAAAAGAATAAAAGAATTAAAAGAATATTTAAAATTATGTCAGTTTGAGGACCAGGATATGTCTGATTCAGGTCATGGTCTTCTCAATAACCTTCTACACATCTGAGAGCTGGGCAATGAATAAGGAGGACAGGAAAAGAATTGATGCCTGTGGCCTGTGGTCCTGGAGAAGAGTACTAAGTATCCATGGGCTAAAAAAACCTCAAAAAAATACCAAAAACCCACAAAACAGATATGACTTGGAAAAGATGCAGCCCAAGTCCTCCTTGGAGGCATGAATAATGAATTTTCATCTCCTGTATTTTAAATATGTTCCTAGGAGAGGTTGTTCCTTGGAAAGAGGCCTCACGTTTGGAAAGGTGGCGGGTCAGCAAAAGAGAGGAAGACCCTCAACGAGATGGATGGACAGTGACTGCAGCAGTGGGCTCTGCAATGTCAGAGATGATGAGGGTGACGCAGGGCAGGACACGGGTCAGGTCTGTTGTTCATCGGGTCACTATGAGTTGTCCTCGACAGCACATAACAACAACAACAACAACCAAAAGCACAAACGAATTTGTCTTAGAAAAGTGAAGCCAGAATGTTCCTGAGAAGCAAGGATGGTGCGACTTTGTCATACGTACTCTGGGTATGTTGTCAAGAGGGGCTCAGCCCTGAAGAAAGGCATCATGGTTGGTCGTTGTTGTTGTTAAGTGCCGTTGAGTCAAGTACAACCCGTAGTGACCCTATGAATAACAGATCTGAGCTCTGTCCTACCCTGTGCCATCCGCACAATCTCCAACACTCTCAAGCCCATTGCTTAGTCACCGTGTCCATCTACCTGGTTCAAGGTCTTATTCTCCTTTGTGGTCCCTCCGCCTTTCCAAGCATGATGTCCCTGCCCAAGGTATAACCTGTTTAAATAATATGCCAATCCAGGCCACGGTCTTCACAATTACCTGCTACTCATCAGAGAGCTGGAAAATGACTAAGGATGATAGAAAAAGAGTTGATGCCTTTGAGTTGTGGTGCAGGAGAAGAGTACTAGAAATACTATTGGCTGTTAAGAGAACAAGCAGGTCTATATTGGAGAAGGTGAAACCAGACTGCTCCTTAGAGGCAAGGATTCTGAAGCTCCATCAGAAGTACTTGATCGTGTTGCCAGGAGGGACCAGTCCTTGGAGATGGACACATGCTTGGAAGGGTGGAGGGACAGCACAGGAGAGGAAGACCTCAGATGAGATAGATTGACTCAGTAGCTGGGGTAATGGGGGTAGATGTGTCAGAGACGGTGAGACCGGCTCAGGGTAGAGCAGGATTCAGAGCTGTTATACACAGGGTCTCTGTGAGTCACAAGCAACTCAATGGCACATAACAACAGCAGTAACATACTCAAAGTATGTGAGATGAAGTTTTACTATCTTTGCCTCCAAGGAGCACTTTGGCTGCAGGAAGACTGTCTCTCAGGAGTCTGACGCAATGGCTGCAGCCATGGGCGGAGATGCGGCCCTGACCAGGAGGGTGACACAGGCTCTGGCAGGGTTTTGTACTGTTGTTTAGAAGGATGGACACGTTGGAACTAAGCTGGAACTAAACGAAGCAGATCAACGCGTGTAATCTAAACCTCCCCATGTTGTCACCTTCCACAAATCCCCTGCAACTCAACAACCTGTTGCATCAAGTCAAAATCGACTTATCGCTGACCTTCCATTGGGTTTCTGAGGCTGTAAGTCGTGTGGGACGAGCTTGGCCAGCATTCGGCCGTGGAGCTCGTGCTGGGTCCTGATTTGTGGAGACTCCACAGGACAGATAGGACCTCTCTATGGTTCCTGATGCTGCCATCGTTATCAAAGTGGACGGCCTCATCTTCTCTCGTGAGAGGGCTGGTGGATTCAAACCACCAACCTCCCAGTTGGCAGCTGAACACTGGCCACAGCTCCATTGACTAGGTGAATGGCCAGGGCTCCATTCACCTCCATAATGGAATCTAATAGAACCACTCGTCTTGGTCATTCCAGGGCAGGATGGATGCTAACCCTTCTCACTTCTTCATCCTATAAACGGCGCGCATGTAGAAATGTGAGCGCACATACAGGGAAGACGGAGGACAGGAGAGAGCTACAAACCCAAAGCTGTGGGCCGCCTCGGGCAGCAGGTAACAGAGGGGACACTGAGGGGGATGTCCTGCTCCTTCACACCCCACTGTGCTCAGTCACAGCAGCACTGGGGAACGGAGCCTCCAGAGACTCACCTCCAAGCTGATCATCTCCCGAGGGAGAGGGGTCGGGAGGTACTTCTCAGGCCCTTGAATCACCGGAATCTCGTTTTTCATCTCATCTTCCAGAAAACCTGAGGGACGACACCCCACCAGACAGGCCTAGGTGACTGCAGTGGCTCATGTCTGAGAAATGGGGCCAAACCAGCAGGACGGGTCAGTTCTCGCCAGCACAGCCACCCGAGCGCCTAGGGGCACATCATAGCACCTGGACGCACCCCGCTCCACCCTGCTGCCGGCCCTCTCCTGGTCCCCCCAGTGCCATTCGCCCCCCACGAGCCACAGCCGACCGGAAAACGACTTACGGAGGATCCTCTCCAGAGACTCACACCTTCTGACTTCATTCACAAACTTCCTCTGGAAGCTGTTCACGCTCGCGTTCAGCTGGAGAGAAGGAAGCCCACAGATGAGCCCAGTGACAGTGGCCAAGTCCAGTAATGTCTGGCATTTCCCACCCAGGACTGTCCCCTATCAGGTCCCCATCCTCACCCATAGCCTCCCCTCAATCAGGTCAGCACCCATGGCCATTCTCCATTAGATCCGAACCCATGGCCACCCCTGCCATCAGGTCCCCACCTACAAACACCCCTATCAGGTCCTCATCCACACCCACAGCCACTCCCACCATCAGGTCCCCACTCACAGCCAACCCCCATCCTTCTCCCAGACCCCCAGTCAGAATTCCAAAGCTGTAAATCTTTATGGGAGAAGACTGCCCATCTTCCTGCCTCAGAGTGGCCGGTGGGCCAGCATGTTCCCACTGGTTACTTTTGAAATGCTGGAGCACTTTGTTAGGATGATCTTGTTGTTAGGGGCCATGGGGTTAACTACAGCTCACAGCAACCCTTTGAACAACACCCCGTCCTGCGTCATCCTCACAACCTCTGAGGCGCTCAAGCCCATCGCTGCAGTCACTATGTCAATCCTTCTCTTGGAGGGTCTTCCTCTCTTTCCCTGGCCCTCCACCCTTTTCAGAGGAATGGCCGGCCCTTCCTGACAATAAGCCCAAAGTATGTGAGATGAAGGTTTCGCCATCCTTGCTTCTGACATACACTTTTGTTGCTATTCTTTGAAGATAGATTTGCTAGTTCTTTTGGAAGCCCATGGATTTCGGCAGTCCACGGGGTTGTCTTAGGGAAAAGTATTTACATGCATAAGACAGGTGGGTTAGAGGTAGACCACACCTTGGGATTCAAGCTCCCCGTCTCCCAAATGCTGCCCTGGCCCTCTCACTGCTGAGAGGTCTAGTCACCTTACACTGTTAGGAAATTGGCTGTCCAAATGAGACCATGAGATCCCCAATAGCGTTACGAATATGCCATGAATATAGACATGGCCGTCAATGACAATGCAATGTCCATGGTAGGTGACCGACCCCAGGTCAGCACACTTGTGGAAGACCTGCATGGGTCAGGTGCTGTGCTAGGAACCAGGGCTCTAAGATGAGCAAGACTGATAGTTCCATGCAGGAGCTTAACTTTGACCTTGACCTTAAAGAGGAAGAAGAGTCTAAGGTCAGTCTCAAGTTTGGACAGGATCCCTGGTGAGCTCATCCAAATAGTACCCTGGGTGATAGCATCCTCGAGATGACCTGTCAAGATTGTCACACCAGGACTCAGAAGGGACACAGCCAGCTGTGAACTATCAGAGTCCTTGTTCCCACCCTGACAGTCAGGGCAAACTATTCTCTGTCCTCAGGAGTAGGGGTCCCCATGCCTGGGGTGTGTCCAGGGCCTTGGAGATACTACAAGGGAAATACAACTACATGGCCTCTAGCACACAGATTCTATTAGGGCTTCAAGACTTGGAAGAAGTTCTGTGGAAGACTGTGGTCTGGAGGATGGAGAACTTGTCACCAGAGACTTGCCCACTTCTGTAGTGAATTCCAGCAGGAAGCACTGTTCTCTTTAGCAGAGCTGAGTTGGCTCTGACACATGGTGACCCTACGACCATCGGGCACCACCTTCTCCCCCTGGAGCCCCACCACCTTCTCCCCCTGGAGACCCACCACCTTCTCCCCTGCTGGAGTCACACCACCTTCTCCCCCTGGAGCCCCACCACCTTCTCCCCCTGGAGCCACACCACCTTCTCCCCCTGGAGCCCCACCACCTTCTCCCCTGCTGGAGTCCCGCCACCATCTCTCCTGCTGGAGCCCTACCACCTTCTCCCCCTGGAGTCCCACCACCTTCTCTCCCATTGGAGTCTCACCACCATCTCCCCTCCCCCCAACCCCCAGAGCCCATAGTTTCTGCTCTTATGTCCTTCCTTCCCACCCAGGGACTTGGTCTCCACACTACCAGACCGTGTTCTGCTGAACACCACGGGGTTTTCACTGGCTCATTTTGGTAAGACTTTTTCTCACTTAACTTTAGGCATGTTGTCAGAAGAGACTCGTCCTTGGGAAAAAAGACATCATACTGGGAAAGGTCAACAAAAGGGAAGAGCTTCAATGAGAAGGCAGAGACTGTGATTACGACACAGGACCAGGGATCTTTCCAGCCTGTCGTTTATACGATTGTAATGAGTTGGAGTCAATGACGTAGATCAACAAGGAATTTTTGAAAATCAGTATGCCTATCTTCCTCCTCTTAATCTGGAAGCTTCACTGAGCCCTCCCCACACTGAGTGACCCTACTGGTATTTGAAATAGTGGTGCCATCACAGCAGGTCATGCTGGTGGGTGGCGGAGCCTGGAGGACCCACAGAACCCCAGCTCTTGTGCTCAGAGCTGGAGGCCTGGCTCACCACAAAGCGCGCTGACCATCCACCCCACCGCCCCGGCCTCCAGGAGGCAGGACCTACGTCTCTGAACTGCACCAGGTCCAGCTCCCCGAGTTCAGCCACACAGCAGTATGCAGCCTCCACCTGGAGGAAGAGCTGGGACAGGCACATCTCCTCACTACGGAACACGGACGCCATCGCGGCCCAATCTGTGGGGGAGAGACAAAGGTGATGCGTGGGTGGAAATCTAAAGATTCGCCCTTTTTCCTCAGTTGAGTCAAACGAAAACCTGACAGGAATCATTTCTGTTTCGCAAAATACAAGCAAAAATAGGACAGTAGGTTTTACCATCTCTCAGGTTGACAGGAGATGAAAAACAGGACTCGTTTGGAGGACTCTTTGGAGTTTATGAGGAAGTAGATACCTCCATCCCCTGGAAGTAAATTTTCAGGTTTTTAGGCACAAGCAATTTTTCAAAAAGAGGTGTTCTGGTTTCAGTGCTTCCTCAAAAAGCTGAACATAGAATTTCTATATGACCCAGCTACTCCACTCCTTGGAGTATACCCTGAGAATATGAGAACTGAGGCACAAACTGAGATTTGTACACCAATGTTCACAGCAGCATTATTCACCATCGCAAGAACATGGAAACAACTCAAAAGTCCAACCACAAATGAATGGATTGAGAAATTATGGTACATTCACACAATGGAATACTGTGCAGCACGCAGGAGCAATAACTTCGTAAATTATTACCTAACTTGGGAGGGACTGGAGAGCATTATGTTGAATGAACTCAATCCCACAAGGATAAATATTGTATAAAACCATTATTGTAGAATGAGTATAAGGATCCAGGAAGGGTGGGAGAGGCTGGAAGCAGAAAGGTATGGATGTGCAGGGGGAAGGGGGGATTAATCATTGGGTTTTATAATTTGAGGGGGGGTGAGGGAAATGGAAAGAATTTGTTCAAATTTTTATTCAAATTTTGTAAATAAACTAGTAAAGAAAAAAAATAATACTAATTTTTTTTTAAAAAGAGGTGCACTGGTGCAGTAGTGTCTTATGTGTTGGGCTGCGAACTCAAAGGTCAGTGGTTTGAATCCACCAGCAGCTCCTTGAGAGAAAGCTCCTTTCATAAAGATGGATGCTTTGAAACCCAATGAAGGGTTGTTGGTGGGGGGTGTACCTACTTGGGCATTTAGTTTGTGTTTCGTTTGGTCTTTGTCAATATCTTTCCAATTCTGTATTTCTCATGCTCTTACCCAAAAACTCCCAGCACCAGTTTATCTAGGAAAACAGATGCACAGAGTTGGCTGTTATCATGCAATCCATATCAATGACAAGTGTGAGTTCTCCTCAGTACAACCAAACCCACTGTCATCAGACTCCAACTCAAGGTGACCCTGCATGTGTCAGAGGAGAACTGGGCTCCAGACGGCTCCCAAGGGCTGATTTCTCAGAAGATCGCCAGGCCTTTCTTCTGTGGCACCCCTAGATAGGTAAGCTGGAAGCCCCAACCTTTGTTAACAGCTGCGTACATAAACCGTCTGCACCCCACAGACGGCCCATCCAGCTGGGATTCAGCAGAGGCTGCATGCCACAGCCGCCGTGGAGTGGGCCTGTCCATGGGAGCCAGGTGGAAGGATATTTTCATCTAGGGAAGCACCACCCCTGTGAGCCAGAGCCCCCCACACTCTACCTGTCAGCCACGGTCCCACCAGCACCCACCGAGACTCCTGACAGAACCATGAAGACACACATTCTCAGAGGCGGTCACGCACCACATAGCACAAAACAGCCCACAGTGCCAACACAGGAGGGTCCAGAGTTCAACCACGAGGCAGAGAAGAACCTGGGCCTTCACAGATGACGAAGCACTGGCCACCCACCCCCTCCGTCCAGTCATCAACCAGAGTCTACAGTGCAGGGCGAGGTGGGGGCCCCAGGCCGAGGTCAGAGTCCTCACAGCGAATGCCTTCAGGAATTCCATCCATTCATCCAGTCACCCCCCACCCCAACCCACCAGAGCTGAGGGGAACCTGTGGTGGCTGAAGGAAAGTGAAGGATTTGTTCTAAATCAAGGATTTTGGCTAAATCAAATACTATCAGACAAGGGAGGGGAGGGAGGACACACACGCCAGTCATCAAAGACCCTGGTAGACCTCCCAATTGCCTCCAAATCAAACAGGTTTCCCAACATCCAGGCTTCTGGAGAAACTAGACCCACAGGGTGGGAACACCCAGGTTTTTGTGTTGTTTGGAATGTCCTGCCCCACACAGGTTTAAATCCTCCAATCTCCATTTCTTCCTGGAATCCTAATCCTTGGTTTAATCTACGAGGAGGAGCACATAAACCTCTGCTCATTCTTCTAGTTCTAGTAATTCCAGCTTTCCCATCCCAAGGCCTTTGTCCCTGCACCCCCGACCCCCCAGTTCCACTTGGACCCTCAGTCTCCTGCTCCCTCTCTCCACATCCACATCGCCCTTCCAGTCTCTGGGATCTTCTTCCTCCAGTGACCTATTCCTGGCCAGGTTCTCCCACCCTGTCAATTCAGTCCCTTCTTCTTACTGCAAAATTAAGCCTCCTTCTATCTGTTTCAGAGTCCTAGGGGCATAACGGGAAAGTGTTGAACCGCAAATGAAAAGTTACCAGGTTTGAACCCACCAGCTGCTCTGAGAGAAAAAGCCGTGGCCTTCTGCTTCTAGAAACTACCGCCTAGAAACTTGACAGGGCAGCTCAGCTGTGTCCTGTGAACTCCCCACAGCAAGCCAGAGCCAACCCTATGGCAAGAGGTGGAGTTTCTGTCCCCCAGCCCTGGGTGTGCTCCCCACTGCCGGCCTCAAGGCTGTTGGCCCTCGTCTGGAGAATAGTGGAGGGGGCAAGAGAAAAGTTCCAGGGGAGAAAAGCTGTGAGCTCAGGTCTAGGCTGGCACCGTGGGCCGTCAAGAGTGGGACCGGCTTGACCAGTGCACGCTGGCTGGGTTTTGTCTCTGTGGTCTCAGCATCTATTAGTCAGTGGCCAAGATGACTAGACAGGTACCCAGGAGGCAGAGGCTGTGTCCAGCTGTCCCTTCCCCACCATCTCAGCTGTAACATTCCCAGTGGGCTACAACTCACATCACAAACAGCACCCCTTCCTCCCCACGCTCCTGTGACTATCCCATTGATATGGAGATGAATCAGAATTTCATCCCCGCCCTGATTCCTCAGTGTTTCCTCTACAAGAAACACAAGACAATTTTGAGCTTCATGCACACCCAAGGCAGACAGAAAGATCCTTCTTACCCAGCTGGTCCAGGCAGGTCCAGGCAGGTCCTGGGTCAGGATCTGTGACCACCAGAGGGGCCACTGGCTTTGTCCCTCAGTCCAGTGGCCTGTCGCTGAGAGGCAGGCTGTTGGCCCAGGGCCTAGGAGGGACCTGCTGGGAGGTGGATTCTGAAGAGCTTCCCGCTGCTCCTGGAGCCCCGCCCCACCCCTCAGCACCCACAGCCCTTGTTGTATCAACACCATCCTGTTGTGGGTGCAGACAGCCCTCCCCGCCCAAACCCACTGTCCAGGGACTGAGAGCCCGGGAGTGCCTGCGGGCCTCAGACCGCTACACATTACAATGTCCCTGTGCAGCTGTGAAGCAAACCAAACATGCCTGCCTCCCACTGTCAGAAATAAGGTGAAAATGGAATTCTGGAAAAGGGGGGTGGGGGAAATCACTACCTCATCAACAATTCTTTCCACAAACACTGCCTGCAAGGAATTCTCATTGACTTGGTCAGAACTGACTCAGCTGAGCCGCTGGCAGGTTTTCAACCACACCTGAGATTACTCAACGTTATCTGTAGGAGCAGCCTGCAGATTCGAACCACTCGCCTTTGGGTTGGCAGCACAACTCTCTACTTACTAGACCACCAGTGCTCCTTTTCAAAAAAGACTCAAGGGGAAAATGCTTATAAACTTTCAGCGTCTAAAGGCAGCTTTGGATGTGGATAAGGTAACAAGACTGAAACAAAAATATATTATTCTAATAATCATAACAACCACCACAAATAGCAATTTTCTATAATTACAGTATTAGAAGAACCACATTAAAACAATAATAATAGCGACCACGCTGTTGTGAAAAGCCAATTCCAGCAGCGACCATAGGCCGCTGTTAGGTGCTGCCCTGACTCCTCACCGCCCTGAACAGCAGATCTGAACCTTGCCCTATGCTGAGGCCCCCTCCCCATCTCTGCCACGCCCAAGCGCACCATTAAATCACACTATCAGTCTATCCTGTTGGAGTCTTCCATCCTTTCCAAACAGGACGTCTTTTTCCAAGGCTGATTCCTTCTGACAACACACCCGAAGTACATGAGACCGAGTTTCACTGGCCCGACTGCACTGCTGCCAAGAAGCAGTTGGGTCTTCTTGGTTGCCCATTCAAGATTCTTTGCCAACAGCTCATTTCAGGGGCATCAATTCTTCTCCAGTCTCCCCTATGCATCGTCCAACTTTCCAAAGCATAACAAGAGAGATTGAAAATACCATGGCTTGGATCAGGCATATTGTAGTCTTCAAACTAAGGTCCTTGCACTAGGCCTTTGAAGAGACCCTTGAGAGCAGATTTTTTTCAATGTGACTTTACAAGACAGGGTCAAATATTGCACCTCATTTTCCCGAGGGAGCTCTGGTGGCGTCTTGGTGGTGGTGCTGTGAAGTCAAACGTGACTCACCGCAGCCCTGAGAACCACAGAGTCCCGTCCTGCGCCATCCTCATTGTCTCTGAAGCACATGAGCCCATTTCTGCAGTCACAGTGTCAGTCCATCTGGTTGAGGGTCTTTCTCTCTTTTGCCAACTATTCACCTTCCCAAGCATGATGTCGCTCCCCAGGGAATAGCCTCTCCTAGCAACAAGCCCAAAATATGTGAGACAAACCCGTCTTCTTTACCTCCAAGAAGCTCCCTGACTTTAGTTTCCCTGGATTTAATTGGTTTGCTCTTTTGGTACGATTTCTTCCACAGTTATCTCAGTGTTCCTCTACAAATTAAGGGTTCTTTTTCAAGTACCTCAATCCGTGCTCACACCTGAGAGACTGAGGTATCATCCTAAATGCCAACCACCCAGCTGGTGTTGCGAGTCCCGGTTGTCTGGGATTTGCACAGCCTCCTGTGTACGATCCAGTCAGAACCTGTTTTGAATGTCATAGCTGTTGTCTGGT